CACTTGAACTGTTCAAAAATTTGTTTTGTGTTACAGAATAATAGCTATACAGAAACAGGACGAAAGTTCACACAGCTGTTATTATTATATTTTTTAATAATTAACAATCAATCTAAAATGAGAAGATTCGAAAAAATGAAGTTAAAGCCTTTAAAAATCTACACAACAAAAAATAAACTTAATTTATTATCTTTAAATTTGCTATAGATGCACTTTTGTTTGAATTCTGTATATTTAATTTTTGTTTTAATTTGCTCATCTATGGCTTTATTGTTATCTTTTTCTAAAGCTAATTTATAGTGGACTAAGTTTTGCTTTTGCATTTTTTATTAAAATCAGGGCTGTGGAGTCGGAGTCGTAGAGTCGAAGTCGCGACATTTTTAGCCGATTCGGAGTTGCTAAACAAAATCGTGACTCCGACTCCAATAGTAAAACTTCTTGGTTATTGCAGTTGCATGTACAAAATATTTAATATTTCATATATTTATAAATACTTTTTTTGTTATTCGTATAAGTTGTTGTTCCAAGGGAATTAAAATATTATGATGAATTTGTTTCCCCGACTGGGGTAATTTTTTTTCAAGTTAATCTATTTCAAAATAGATTAACTCCCCGGTTGATTTAATAAAATAAACGAGTGGTTTACAAGTAATAAATTTTCTTTAAATGTAGAAAAAAATAATTTTATTTTATTTTCCAAACCTTGTAAAAGTGGCAATATTCCTTTAAAATTACCCAAACTCCTTATCAATGAAATATTCATTAAAAGGGAACAAATCGTTAATTTTCTAAGAGTAATACTAGACAAAAATTAGTCATGGAAGCCTCATATAAAATATATAGAAAATAAAATCTCTAAAAATATTTCCACATTATATAAAACTAAACCATTTCTTAACACTGCTTCTTTAAAAAAATATACTTTTCATTTATTCATAGTGCTATCTCTTACTGTAATATCGTATGGGGTAGTACTATGTATAACTATGCTAAATTTAAAAACTTCATAGTAAGCAAAAACACGCATGTAGGACTGTCTTTGGTGGACACAGAACTTTTTATTGCGAACCTCTTTTAAGGAAACTTGGTGCCTTAAATGTCTATAAACTTAATATACACCAAGTTCTATAACTCATGTTTAAAAGAAAACATGAACTCTCTCCTATTGGATTTCAGTATTACTTTAGTGAAATCTCGCACAAGTATCCTACTAAATTTTCAATTAATAACTTTGTTGTTCCATAAACTAAATTAAAACTAAGTTCGTACCATATCGACCGTTTCTATGGAAACATTTTTCAAAGTTGAATTCAAAAATTAATAATGTTAAAAACATCTCTCTTGAACTTTACAAGAAAGAATCGAAGATTCTCTTATAACAAAAAGACTGATTTAAAATATCTCTTTTAAAAATAATACATATATGTATTAAAAAGTAAAATTAAATTAAAGTCGCAACAAAAGAGAAGTAGTGTCAATAACTATTTTTTTAGATTTTTAGTTTATACTATATATAAATAATTATTTATAAATTTTTATATTATTTATAAATAAATCTAAAAAAATAGTTATTGACACTACTTATCTTTTGTTGCAATTTTAATTTAATTTTACTTTAAATTTTTGTTAATCTTTGATAAATTGCGTTATATTTCAACACTCGTAACTAATTTTCATTTTTATATATTTTTCATTTTCACTATTTCTAATTTTTATTATATACTTTATTATTGCAAATTTTCATTTTGATATATAAACTGACGATTTTTCAATGTAAATGGGGCTCGATGATAAGACAGTTTATGTCTTCTGCTTGCTCCAGCTCTCTCATTTATTAACACGATTTTTCTTATTGTAAATTTTAAATACGGCATATAATAATAATTAAAAAAAAAACAGTTTTTACGCTACGGGAGTTAATTTATTAAGGGGGTTAAAAGAATTTTTCATATATTTGGAAAAAAATATTTTCACAAATTATCGCGTAATACTTTTTAAAGAATTCAAAGAATTTTTCACAAATTTGGGAGTTGTACCTATTATGCTTTTAAATAACTATAACTATATTTTTTTTGCTTATATATTTTTCTCAAGTTATATATTTTGTTAAAATATATTTGCTTGCTTTAATGTTTGGATAAAATATTAGTTAAATAAATAATAATTAAATCGTAAAAACCTACTATTTTTCGGACTTGTAAGCAACAAGTCCGGTGACGTGAAAAGGATTTATTCTCCGAAAAGTTAACTCCTGGTTAAAACATTTTAACTCCCTGGTTTATCTATTTCGAAATAAATAAACCCCTTGAGTTAAATTAACCCCATTTAATACGCGTTTTAAATAATTTAGCTTATAATAATCTTTCTTATAAAATGTTCTACCTAATTGCGTGAGTAGTTTAATTTTATTTTTTAATAAATATCTTTAGTTAGCGTTGAACAAAATTATTTTGTTAAATATATATAGTTTGCGTTGAATAAAATTAACTTTTAATAAATATCTTTAGTTAGCGTTGAATAAAATTACTTTTTCATAAATATCTTTATTTAGCGTTGAATAAAGCTATTTTTTTTTATTTTAGATAAGTTTGTAAATTGTTGTGAAAATAAAAAAGAGATCGAAATAATAATAATGCACGAACTTCAATGAACCTTTCTTTTTTGCTAATAATAATGTTTGAGATTATAGAGTTTATATAGCTAATTAGTTCGATACCTAAACTATATATATATATATATATATATATATATATATATATATATATATATATATATATATATATATATATATATATATATATATATATATATATATATATATATATATATATATATATATATATATATATATATATATATATATATATATATATATATATATATATATATATATATAAAGATGATTCGTCGAGTTCCATTCATAAATATAGGAAGATCTAAAATATTACGGTAACGATCGGCTATCAAAAATTGGATTTTATCTAAATTAAAGTTCACCAGCCACTGTGAGCCCCATGTTATAGCAGAAGTGAGATCCTTTTCAAGATCAAATACCCCCTTCAAGTAATCAGAGAGTGTTGGCTTCTTATCATGACAAGAATGAAAGGTACTATCATCAGCGAACAATGCCACCTTAGATGTAAGAATATCTGGAAGATCGTTGATGTAAATTAAAAAAAGCATAGGGCCAAGAATTTAACCTTGAGAAACCCCTGAAGTTACAGGATATGAAGAAGAGTGCTATCCATCGATATCGACAATTTTTATATTACTATTGGAAAGAAAGACTTCAATAATCTTAAATATGTTACCTGATATACCGTAAAAAAAAAGCTTATGGAGAAGATCAGCATGCCAAACATTGTCGTGGAGAGGTTTAGGCTATTGCTTTGAAATGTCAAGAGCAATAGCCTAAACCTCTCCACCTTTATCTAATGCACAACACAAGCTATCGGTTATTATTGTTTGCAAATCAGCTGTAGAACGAGAAGACAGAAATCCATATTGATGATCAGAAAGTAAGTTATTAGATTCAAGGTAAGATATTAAATGTTTGTTAATTAAAGATTCAAAAACCTTGCTTATGATATGAAGAAGACTAATGGGACACTAGTTAGACAAGTCAGATCGCTCCCCAGAATTTTTTAAAAATAAGGATTACAGATGCTGCTTTCCAGCATGCTAGAAAACAAGACTCCGATAAGCACTTGTTAAATAGTTTCGAAAATATAGACGACAGCATAGGAGAACACTTTTGCAAGACTACAACAAATATGTTGTCCGGACTACAAGCTGTAGAAGAGTCTAAGCAGGAAATCACTCTCGATACAGAAGCTGAAGTGATACGAATGTTAAGCAACAGATCAACCTGTTTGTTGGCAATATTAGGTAGAACGCAATTAGTGGAATCAAGAGACAATATTGATAAAAAGTTCTTAGCAAACAATTTAGCTTTGTCTTTAGATGTGGTGATAAAATCTGAACCGTACTAGAGAGGTGGAATAACAAATTTGTCCCTATTATTGATACTGTTAAAGATTTTTACAATGGTTTCTAGCAATAGTAAACAGACGTTGTGTTGAACTTTTTTGTTGATAGATAAGGAAGTAATGGTTTCGATTGGAAATTGTACAGCTCAATGTGAGGTAAACTAAATAGAAGAGTGAGGCTTGACTTGGAATTGGCGAGAGAGAATAAAAGATTGCATGTCAGGTTGAATCCAAGAAGTTTTGTAAGAAGCACATTTGTCAGCATATATATGTATATATGCTGACAAATATATATATATATATATATTATATATATATATATATATATATATATATATATATATATATATATATATATATATATTTGACTAAAAACTCTTCAATTAATTTCGAATGATGATCTGAACTCTTTTTTTTAAACGATTTTGTAAAAATTTAACGTTATTGTCTGATGATGGGACTGTCCATATAATCTCGAAATATAAAAAATATAAATAAAATTAGTACTAATTATTCTCCATTAAAAGAAGATAATTTTTTTTTTAATTTATCATTTAAGATAGTGCTAAAGGGCGCTCCTCTGTTCAGTAAATTACCTTTAAAAAGTTGAAGTTTATGTAAGGAGGCGCAACTTTAATCAATTTTTATATCAACATCAAAAATACGCCATAAAAATTTGTTTCCAAATGATAATTATTTTTTTACTATTTATTTTTTGGGGAAATTTGCGCCCTCCTAAGTTTTGCGCCTCAAGCCGCGGCCTGGCTGGCCCCGCCCTTAGTATGGTTCTGCAAACTGTTTACCTATTTATTAAATCATCTATCAGACTATTTATTTTATATAAACCTTTACAAACTATTTCAAATTCACTAAAAATTATTTGAAAAAAAATCAGTTCTTTAAAAACAGGCTTTGACTTCCTTGTGTTTAACGACTCCTAAAACTAAATAAAATTTTTTTAAAGTATTTTAAACATTTTGGAGTAAAATAAACATAATTTATTAACAAAAATTTCTAAATAAGTATGTATATATATATAAATTTAAAAACTAAACTATTTAAATATTTTTATGAGTGTATGCATGGAAGTCTGTGTATGCTTATAAATAAATATTTATGCTTTTATTTTTATTCTAGCATTTGTCTTTTAACAAGTCCAGCATAAACACCATTAGATTTTATAAGATATGCATGCGTGCCTTCTTCAACAATTGTTCCTTTATCAAAAACGAATATATTGTCTGCTTTTTCGACTGTACTTAATCTATGAGCAATAATGATAACTGTTCTTCCATTCAAATTTTTATTTATAGCTTGTTGAACTAAATATTCAGACTCAGTATCAAGAGCACTGGTAGCTTCATCTAAAACTAACACAGAAGGATTTCGAATCAATGCACGGGCTATAGCAATACGCTGTTTTTGACCTCCTGACAGTTGAATACCTTTTTCTCCTGTTTGTGTTTCATACTTTTCTGGCATATCACATATAAAAGAGTTTGCATTTGCCATTATAGCAGCTTTAATGATTTCCTCTGCATCGACATTATTAGATAAACCATAAACTATATTTTCAGATATAGATCGAGCAAATAATACAGGCTCCTGTTGAACTAAAGTTAATTTAGAATGTAGAAATTCATGATCAAAGCTACTAATCTTGAAGCCATCTAAAAAGATTTCACCAGAAGATGGTTCATAAAAGTGCTCTAAAAGATTCACTACAGAACTTTTTCCTCCTCCACTTGCTCCAACTAGAGCACAAACCTCACCTGCCTTAGCATGAAAAGTTATATTTTTAAGTACATCAACATCAGGTCTGGAGGGATAGGAAAAAAAAACATTCTTAAACACAACATCACCTCTTAAATGAGATATTGGTATAAAGTTTCCAGATATAATTTTTGGTTTTCTGTCAATATACACAAATACATTACGAGCAGCACCGACTGCCTCCATAAGTCCTGTATAAACATCTCCAATCTCATCAAATGCATTTGCTAACTCCATACTGTATAATATAAATGAAACTAAATGACCTCCTATAAGATGACCTTTTATAACTAAGTCTCCTCCAAAGAATAATATAAGCAAAGAAGTGGCCATGTCTGTTATCTCTAATGACCATCGATAAAAAGTCTGCAAAAAACTTTCCTTTTTTCTCAAATTATATGTAACATACAAACGTTCTGAATATCTAGCAATTTCTTGATTTTCAGCTGCAAAGCTGCGAACTGTCCTAATGGATGAAATAACTTCTTGAGCACATTCATTTGCATTGGCTAAAGAATTTTGAACACCTTCAGAAAGTTTTCGGTAACGCTGCCCAAATATCTCAGATACAATTGCTACGATAGGAAGGCTTACAAGGGTTAGTAAGCTCAGTTTCCATGACAATTTAAACATAAAAAATAAAATACCAATAACTTTTACACAATTTCGGGTAAATATATTTACGTTGAGACCAACACAATCCCCAATTTTGGTACAATCTGAAGTTAATCTTGAGGTTATTTCTCCAGTATTTCTTTCATCAAAAAATGCTATCTCCATTTTTACTATAGCTGAAAACAATAAATTTTGTATTCTTAAAACATAGCGACTTAAAACAAATGTAAATACGCCAGCACGGATACTAGCAGCAAACCCGGTTGCAAGTGTAACTAATGCCAAGTGCAAAATTGCATCTTGAAATTTTTGAACAGACTTATCAATAATAATGTAATTTAATACTAGGCCAGTGTAAAAAGGTAAAAATACTTGACCAATCGAACAAAGTATTAAAAAAAGAAATGCAATACATATATAAAAAGCATCATATTTAGCAAGTTTTAACAGTTTTAAAAGAGTTTTTGATGTTGAGTACTTTTTTGCTTCCATTTCATCAAGAACATTTAAATCGTTTCGTTTATTTTTCTTTATATATTCTTTAGAATTAGATTGCATATGAACTTCGGTTTCCACGTTCAATTTACTTTTACTTTTTTTATTAAATTTTAATCCCAAGAAAAACCAATTGATATATGTAAAAAATACTGATGATATAGTTATGCTAATAGCTATCCACATTTTCCATTTATTTTTCAAATCATCCTCTAAAAAATATATGATCTTCACAACGGTATAAAGTGCTGTAAAACATGAATAGTATAAAACATACATCGACCACTTTTTAATTCTATCAACACCTAAAACATAGTTACAACAAAGTCCAATGGATGCTCCAAATAATATACAAAACCGCAGTCCTGACAGAATTAAAAGATCAAAGGTTGAGTGACCAATGGAGAACTTAAATATGCTGTTACTAATATCATTTGACCATACATTAAAGAAGATATTTACAGTGAGATCAGCAACAATGTAAAAAATAACAAAAGCAATTGTAAAAAATCTCTTCATTTTTGCAGATGTTGGTTTTATCTGTAACTAAAACCCTAAAAAGAAAATGCTAAATGCTAGATAAAAATGTTTAAATGATTTTTAAGCATAAAGTATAAATTTTCCAAAAAAGAAATATCTTGAATCTATTACTCAATACATAAATATATATAAATATACATACTTACATAAATACGTACATATATACATAAATACATACATAAATACGTACTAACATACATATATACATACATACAAACCTACATACCTATATATATACATATATATATATATATATATATATATATATATATATATATATTTATATATATATATATATATATATATATATATATATATATATATATATATATATATATATATATATATTTATATATGTATATATATAAATATATATAAATATATATATATATAAATATATATATATATAAATATATATATATATATATATATATATATATATATATATATATATATATATATATATATATATATATATATATATATATATATAAACATTGTATATATATGAGGGGAGCCCATAGCTACACCATTTATTTGGTCAAAACTCTGTTTTTTAAATTTAATTTTAATATCTTTTACTATGGAAAATAAATCTAATATCTTTCTTGTACATTAATGTAAACAAAGTAAACAGTTCCTTATCTACCTCTGTTTTTCATAAGGAGACGTATTTAGGCCTTCATACTTCCTTTTGTAGTTTCATCCCTTTTTCATACAAGGTAAATTTAATTAAATGCTTTATTGATAGAACCTTCAAAACTAATAATATTAAGTATGTTTTTTATTATGACATTAAAAATCTTTTTAACATTCTCAAAAGCAACATGTATCCAACTTGGCTTATAAACAAAATTTACAATTCTTATCTTACCAAAAAAACTATTTTTAATACTTATCAGCACGAATCCGAAAAACAAGAAATCATGAAAAACTACTTTACACATCCTTATGTTAGTAATTTATCTGATCAAACAAAAAAGAGTCTAAAACCTATCATTAAAAAACATTGTAAACCTATAAATTTTAATTTGATTTTTACCTCCTTTAAAATTTCTAATATGTTTTCACCAAAGGATCCTCTTCCTGTAGAGTTTAAATCATCCGTTGTTTATAAATTGTGCAAAATGTATGCACAGGATGTAATTCTTGTTATACAGGCGAAACTTCTTGTCACCTTAAAACACGAATGATTGAACACTACAGGAGAGACAAAAACTCACGCATAAAAACATCTCTATGCTAACAATAGTTGTTTTAATAATTATAATAATGAATGTTTCTCAATATTGGATTGCCCCCAATAAATTTGAGCTTAACATTAATGAAAGTTTGTTCATAAAATAGAAAAATCCAGATAGGTTGATCCATTGCTGGACATCCGTATAACTTCAGCTTCTGTATCTAAAGTGATTTCCTGCTTAGACTCTTCTACAGCTTGCAGCCCGGACAACATACCTGTTAAAGTCTTGCAGAAGTGTTCTCCGAAGCTGTCGTCTATACTTTCGAAACTATTTAACAAGTACCTTATCGGAGTCTTGTTTTCTGGCATGCTGGAAAGCGGCATTTATTAACCTTATTTTAAAAAATTCTGGCAAGCTATCTGATTCGTCTAACTACCGTCCCATTAGTCTTCTTCCTATCATAATCAAGGTTTTTGAATCTTAAATTAACAAACACTTAATCTCTCATCTTGAATCTAATAACTTACTTTCTGATCATCATATGATATGAATTTCGATCTTCTCGTTTTGCGGCTGATTTTCTAACAGTAATAACCGATAGGTTTTATCGCGCATTAGATAAAGGTGGACAGGTTAAGGCCATCGCTCTTGGCATTTCTAAAGCGTTTGATAAAGTTTGGCATGCTGGTCTTCTCCATAAGCTATCAAGTTACGGTGTTTCTGGAAACATCTTTAAGATTATTGAATCCTTTCTTTCCAATCGCAGTATAAAAGTTGTCCTTGATGGACAGCACTCTTCTTCTTATTCTGTAACCTCAGGGGTTCCTCAAGTTTCAATCCTTGGCCCAATACATTTTTTAAATTACATTAACGATCTTCCAGATATTCTCACATCTAAGGTGGTATTGTTTGTTGATGATACTACCGTCGTCGTAATGTTGCTTCTCTTTCTCTTTTCTACAAATACTATAATGGGCACTGCTCTAAAGAGCTAGCGTCTCTTGTGCCATCTACTAAAATTAACTCTCAAGTTACTCGTTAAGTTACTCAATTAAGTCTCATCCTTTTTCTGTTACTGTTCCTAAGTGCTCCAAAAACTCTTATTCGTCTAGTTTTTTTCCTCGAACATCAGTTCTTTGGAGTTCGCTTCCTTCATCTTGCTAACCTGATTCATATAATTTGCTATCTTTTAAGTTGTCTGTCAATTGTTATCTTGCTCTCCAATCTTCATATTTTCTCTTCCAGTAGCTTCCAACACTAATTAATGGCTGCTTGCAGCCTTGTTGGAAGTGAAGATGTTTAAAAAAAAACATCTAAAAAAAAAGCATATGAACAAACAGTTAAACCATTGTAAAATATCACTTTTTACATAAAAATTGATATTTTATTAGTCATTAAGCTTTTAATAAACAATTTAATAACTTTTTTATTGTATATTTTTTTATTAATTGCGACAAAATAGGCTATTTTGTAGAAATTAATAAAAAAATAAATTGTAATTTATATTTATATACAATATTTTTTAATAATTTTACTAACTTGTAAAGGGCTTCATGATAAGATCATGTGATCTTCTGGAAGTCCTACCAGTAATATATTCAATGTAAATTTACCTTGTTCATATTTTTCTGGGAAAAAAAAAAACAAACTTTAGATTTAGTAAAATTTGAGTAAAATCCTATAAATGGAAGTTTATAATATCAATTCTATTTATTACAGATGAATTTTTAAATCTAAAGTTAATAAAATCATTAAAAAATATTGTAAAGATTTTATAATTAACTTAATTTTCACTTCGAACAAATTACAAAACAGTTTATGTATAAAAGATCCACTTCCTAAGCTGCTCAAATCCAATGTTGTTTACAAATTTTCTTGTGCTGTATGTAATGCCAGTTATGTTGGAGAAACCTCCAGACACTTAACATTGCTTTACTTGGATATTGCTCCTAACAAAAGCAAATTGAAAATTAAAGAAGCACTCCATATTAAATGGGAAAACCCATCTTTAAATAAACAAACTGTTTATTAAAATAAAAATTTGTCAATCTAGTTTCTTTTTTTTGTTTTTTACTATTACAGTATAATAATTTGTGTTATAACTTTTATTGGTTTGTAACAATTCTATTTGTCTGTTGATATTTTTCTGTAATGTCTTCAACTTTTATATTTATATCCAGAGTTTTAAATTATAATTTTATCTTTTGAAAATGTAGTATGTTAACTACGAAACATGTGAAGATTAAAAAATATCGTGTTTTTCTTTAAAATATGTATATATACATACATATATATATATACATATTTTATATATATATATTTATTTGTATATATATATATATATATATATATATATATATATATATATATATATATATATATATATATATATATGTATATATATATATATATATATATATATATATATATATATATATGTATATATATATATATATATATATATATATATATATATATATATATATATATATATATATATATATATATATATATATATATATATATATATATATATATATGTCGTGGAAAAGCACAAAAAATTGGCAATCTGGTGAACAGAGCATTTACTAGCTATAATAAAACTCATTCAAAGTTACATGGTCATGTCCCCTGCAAGTATCACAAAACGGCACAACAACGAGCTGAACAATTCCTATGCATTTCAAAATCTTCCAAGAACATCATCAAATTAATTGAACTAAATGTAAGTGTTCAGGTCTATGAAAACAGAGAGCGAGGACACAGGGATGTGGTTATCTTGATCGAACTCAAACAGATGAAGCACTAACTGACCAACAAGGTAATTTTAGAGCACTTTTGACATTTGAATCGACAATGGGGACACTTTATTAGCTGAACATTTAAAAAATAACAAAAAAATTATTTAAAACTAACCAAAATGTACTTATTAACCTTTGTGGAGAACTAATCTTAAAGCAGATCGTGAGTGAGGTTAAACTCAGTTTTTCTCTGTATTAGTTGATGAGACCACCGATAGTGGTCACAATGAGCAATTAAGCATTTGCATTCGATATGTTGGCCAAGATGGCATCGTCAAAGAGGAGTTTGTTGGATTTGGGAAAATTGAAGATTTTACAGCCAGAGGCATTTTTTTTTTGGTCAGGGTTATAATGGAGCATCTACAATGTTTGGTCATGTTAGCTGTGTTCAAGCATTAGTGAACCAGTTTCACAAATTTTAAATCTTTCTCTCATGTTCATGTAACAAACGCAATAGTCTACAAACGTTGTTTGGTTAAATACCAAAAGAAAGATTTCCTATTATATATATTATTTCACAAGTTGCAATCACTCTTCCTGTAACATCTTGTGAACCAAAACGTTGCTTCAGTGCTCTGAAGCTTTTAAAATCAAGAATACGATCTTCTATGGTTGATGATCGCTTAAATAGTCTTGACCTTTTGTACATTCACCCAGAAATTAATATTGACCCAGACATGGTTATCAATGAATTTGTCTTGAGCACACACAAATTGGATTTTGTGATATATATATATATATATATATATATATATATATATATATATATATATATATATATATATATATATATATATATATATATATATATATATATATATATATATATATATATATATATATATATATATATATATATATATATATATGTATACAACTGCAACATAGTGGTTTTTTTAAACGCAACTGCAACTTAGTAATTTTTTTAAAATCAAATTGCGGTGCTCTGTGATAAGTCCGTAAGGACTTCTTGGGACACCTAGATTAAAAAAATTGTTTATTGCACGATTCGTTTTAATTATAAAAATCGCACGTATTTTATAAAACTTTTATAAAATTATTGTAGTTTTAAAGATATTACTTAATTTCTAAAATTAATATAATTATTTTAAATAATTATTTAATATAGAATAAAAAATTGTTTATGTTAAGCGGAAATATAAATCAAATTATTCGTAAATAAAAACTTTTTTATTATAAATATTTTCTTGCAATAATATACTTTTTTTAATGTAAATATAAATATTTTCATATATTATTTGCGTTTAAGTCATATTTTATTTATTTATTTAGTTTCTTATTTTAATTTTATATATTTCTTTTTCCGTATTTCAACAACAGTTCGCCTATTTACTTATGTTTGCTAGATGCTGAAAAAGCTTTTGGCTGTTGCAACTGGAATCTTTTCTTTGATAAACTTTACTTTGATAAAAAATCTACCTCTCCAAAGAGTTCACACTGTATCTTCTTTTTATCACAACAGTAGTGCAACTGTCTTTTACCTTCCAGTCTTCCAGTAGTTCAACTGTCTTTTAGGTTCCATTTCAGTTTCATTTGCTCTTAAGCATAGTGAAAGGCAAGGATCAATTTTGTCGCCCCACTTGTATGACATATTCACCCAAAACTTACTTGAAACTATAAAAAATTATAATACATGGAAACTTTACAGGTGTTGTAGCTTATTCTGACGACATCATTCTGCTTAGCTCTACACTGTCTGGTCTTAGAAGGCTTATTACAAAGTGTAATGATCACAATAACTTAAACGGCATAAAACTCAATGCTGTCAAAACGGAACTTTTGCTCTCCAGAAAACGACTATAGAAAACGACCAGAATCTAATTGCAAGATAACCCTGACAACCATCAAATAATACCAAATGAAAAACTTAATTATCTGGGTTTTAAATGGGATACAAAAAAAATCCAATTTTGCCTCAATAAGTAGATCAAATATTAACAATAGGGTATCAAATCTTCAAACAACTGTATAAACTCTGGTATCCGATTTGCACACCCATCTTCAATTATCCAATTATATAAATCTTCAGCAGTTCTAACGCTAACGCATGACCTGGAACTCTTTGAAAATAGAGAGTTAACAACGCATAGACTTGATAAAAATAATAAAGTCACTTTTGAAATCATCAATTCCCAGTTTAACTATTGTTCAGTAAAACATTCATTTTTAGATGATATAAAGGAATTATGTAAGATCCATAAACTAAATATGAAAAACCAAATTCAGGTTTAGAAGAAAGTCAAAGTTTTAGAAAATATAATTCCTGGAGATACTTATCAAATTCTTGTTTAAAGTATAATTACTGTCTAGCACAACATTTTCTTTTCTTTTGTTTACACAGTTAATATGTATAATATGTATATATATATATATATATATATATATATATATATATATATATATATATATATATAT